TGTTTGTACTCCTTCGTTTCTAAATGTTTTTCATAATTCGACTTTTTATTTATCTGTTAAAAAGATTCTAATTAAAAAGATCGTTTAGTAACCGACGAAGTTGAATTAAGTGTGATGTATGAGAGAATGGTTGGTGGATTTAGATCATGAGCAATGTGGATGGGAGTCATGAACTTGGACATAAGACTACAAATGAGATTTCTATATGAGCTGGATTTTTTTTATTTTATTTATTTATTTATTTATTTTGTAATTTGCTTATACCTATATTATGATTCATGATCACCAAGATTTATGTACATTATTTTTGTCGAAGATGTGACATTCAATATCGTAATATTTTTAATATTAAGATGTATGTGACATTTAGTTTTGTTGCCACTAATAATAGATTAAGTCAACTAATTATCTTTAGGCTCAAAATAATTAATAATCCTACCAATCAAAATTTTCATAATAAAAAATTATGCTGTATATATTGATGTATGCAATAAATGTGATATGACTTATATGAGTTGTTGATGTAGTGATCATGGTTTGAAATCCGATTTTTACAAGTATAATTGCTTGTCCATTTCCTTTATTTGTTTAAATTGTTTTATGATTCTTATGATATCATATTTGACCATCGATAACAATAATAATAACATGAATAGCAAATTAGTTTTACTAGTCTTTTTATTGACCGTAATATTGTTATTCTTTAGAGGATGGAAAAGAATGTACTAACAAACATTTATTAATACAATATAGTACATTCTTTACGTTCTTTCAATGTTTCGTTTCGTTTTGATTTTGATCTCTTTTGTAATGCACAACTTTAAATATTACTTTCTCCGTTCCAATAATATTGCAACAATGATGAAATTACGCATCCCACAGCATATTTATATGTTAAATGTCTATAATTGTATAAGAGTAAAAATTATAAAAAGTTGATATTGTAAAAGTATTTTATGAGACGAATCTAACAAGATCCTATATGACTATATTTTGCTTAATGTATAAATCATATTATATGGTCAAACAAGAGTGATAAATAGTGCAAAAGTCCAATTATTGCAATATTATTAGAACGGATGAAGATATTTTATATAATAAGTAGTAATTTTTTATTGTCTCTTCGAAGACATCTGATAAAATTGGAACGATACAGAGTAGTAATTTTTTATTTTATTTTATTTTTAAAAGAAAGACAATATCTTAAATAGCGGCTCTATAAGTACGTATTACTATTGAGGAAGACAATCTAATATTTGTCAAATCAAAGCACATTTTGTGGCTTTTACGTACCACGAAATCATAAAATTTGCTAATTTCGGAACATCGACTATACAACAAATCAAGTAGAAGGTCGATAGCAGATAGCAGATAGCAGATGCAAGACATTAGAGTCTTTGAAAATTGTTCTTTTCAATAATTTAAGTTTATTGCTTATTATTGTTATTTAAAATCTCCATTTGGTATTTTCCTTGTAACAGGATATTTTTGTACTCCTTCCGTCCCTTATTGTCCCTTATTTATATGTCTATTTCTCTTTATTGTGTGAGTAATAAATGTTAGGAATAGACATATAGATAAGGGACGGAGAGAGTACTATTCTTTTACCCTAACTTTTTTCAAATGTACAAACAAATAAACAAACTCAAAGTCTAAACCACATACAATTTATATCATCTTTAAGTATACATTAGATTTATTTGCAAAAGTAATACAAGTACTTGCATTGTAAATCAAGTTGACATCCCTCGAGGTAAAGGGTTAGGTAATGAGATAATTTTCCTAATATAACTAACTATATTTGGTATGGTATGGTTATTTGGTTGTAATTGAATAGCTTTTTGGCTTAATTAATTTGGTGTGAATATCAGAATATGTACACAACCACCCATACTAAAGTTACATTGTTTTTCATGTTCTATCTACAATTTAAGTATGTATATAGTTGAAATTGGTTTACATCTAACTTCAATTTATTTTTTTGTTTTTTTTAACAATTACTGAAGGTTTCCTTATCTCAAGAAAATGACCAAAAATACCTAATAGTTTACATCTATCAAACTTTAAAGATTGCTTTTAAAATCAACATTATACGTAATAACTTGATACTATATGATATATATAACAATACACGTGAAAGAAATATAGTAGGAGAAAACAAAGGGTAAAATTTAATTATGCAAGAAAATTTTATTCATTTAATTATATATCTATGTTACAACTCACATATTTTGAAGATGCCTTTAACAATTTGAGGCAATAAACAACCCTTTTCCCACTCAAACAAGAAACTTTCAATAATTACCATATTTTTAAGGGTTGTAGTTAGGCAATCCAGATCACAAACAACACAAGGTCAACTAAAGTCATTTCTATTTTATTTTTAAAAATAAAATTTCTAATATATTTTTTTTTAAAATAAAAACTTTTGCCTTCATTGGTGGGTTCTTGGATCATGAGAGTGAAATTATAAATATAGAAAATAAATAAATACTATAAATAAAAATAATAATAATAATAATAATAATAATAATAATAATAATAATAATAATAATAATAATAATAATAATAATAATAATAATAATAATAATAATAAGTTCCTTAGAATAGCAGTAGATGATGATATTGATGTCGCCCCACATTGCCACATATAATCGAAAATTCCTTGTGCCTTGTTTGGTCCCAAGTCTCAAATGTGTTTAACGAGATATACTCTCTACTAATTTGGCTCTTACTCATTTTTTTGGGAGGTCCCACATCAAATCCTAAACCTCAACAAATTAAAAATTATACATAAATGATTTTTTAATATTTATTTTTTATTTTTTAGTGTCCTTTCTTGTTTATGTTCTCTTCAAAACTCCCATGTGAAAATTCCTAGCACTACCCCTTGAGGCCTACCATGTAGTTTGTATGTCTCCCTTTTCCATTTTGTTTGCTACCTATCTTATTGACATCACTTTGTGATCCATGATTTTCTCAATCCATAAGCATTACATGGATCATAGGATGAGAGGCAATAATAAGTGAATTCTTTAGCATTGTTACTCTTTTCCTTAGTATACAAGTCGTTACATAGTGATAAGTCATAATTCAGTGTTTTGATGATTAAATAATATGTGCACGCAGTGCCTGTTGTAGCCTTGTAGGTATGTATTGTCCGTGATGTATGGATCACACATGCCAGATTGCCAACAAGGCTAGTGCACATCGTATACTCGTTCACGTACACCTACAAGTGTGAACTTGTTGCACTGCCTCATTTTTTGTCGTGCCCTTAGGAATATATATGATATGATATGATTGACGATTGGACAATCAATCAATTCTACGCCCTATATGTTATAATAATTAGCTAGAAGTTGATTGCATTGCTATCTTTAAAACACTATGTATCGTTTGGATGGAAGGACATCCATTATTGGATCATTTGTCACAGGCCGGGATTGACCATACAACCACTTTTGCGCTATATAATTGCATTCGTGCTACATACAAGTAGTAAACAAGAGAGAAAAAATAAAAGCCTTTTGAAAAAAGCTAAATTATGTGGTTCAAAATGACAGTGAAAATTGGCACCTTGTGACTATAAGCCTAATAAAGTTGCCAATAAACGTACTACAATTGCTAAGGCCAGCCTTTACTACTAAGATACATACCCTGGTAATAGGGACATTTAATATATTTTAGCATATAGTATAAATGACATAAATAATATTTGGCACATAATCGAAGAAATATTACTATTTCAAGCTCTTGTAATAAACAGTCTTAAAATTAGGAACTAGTAATACTACGGGCAACACCAATTCTAACAAAGATTTATTCAGAAAAGCAAAGCTAAGACACCCCAAATATTACTTGTTTTTCCGGGAATTGCTGATAATATTACAGTAACATGCATGTTATGTGTGAGATTCCTAGTATCTTCCCTAATTATGATATAATCCTAATCATGCATAATTAGCAATTTTAATACGACACTTTAAGATTCTATTATTTAAATTAAACCTGAAGCAACATCGAAGCTTCCACCTTTGTAGGATTAGTTTTTAATCACTTGTGAATGAGTGGCAATTCAGTTATGTAAATTAATATAATTGTAATTAAAGTAACATTGGAGGTGACAAATGAGTCGTTCGGTTCGTCTATATTTGGGTGAATGAAGAGTCAATGATTTGGGTCTCGAGTAGATGAATTTAGGATAGAATCATACAAATATTTATTATGATGATACACGGATTAGTACCCAATATCAATCACATCATAATAATTTATGTACCCGTCAAAAAAAAATTAATTTATAGGTTGGGTCATGTCATTTCTGTTTGGCTTGGACAATTTGCTCTTGAGGACCCTTTGAGTTCGAGTTAGGTAAATTGGAATTGAGTATGAGTTAGTTTTGCAAAGTATAGGTAGCACCATGAAGATACTCGAAGATCTAGCCCCTGAAATGCTGCGAAAGTAGCTGAATGAATCATGATCTAACAGAAGTTACAGCTGCAAGTACATATACTAATATGTGCCCACATAATTTTCGACATTTCAGCAGAAAACACAAACGATTTCGAGTGCAGGGAAACTGAAGCTGATACTGTCGAACACATGATCGGAGAACAGAGAATCCTGTTAATCAGTTAAGTAACACGCATTTTGCCAGGTCCTAACAGCATGGAGTTGTCTAATACAGCTGTTAAATAATGCAAATTGAATGATTCAACCTTCATTATAAAATGTAGCAAACGCAAAGAGATCTGGCTGAATACGATGGATCTAGTTATAGATTACAGAAATACTCGTCGATAATACAAGATTAAATGTAGGAATATCGGTATATTTTAATCCGATCAAGATTCACATTGTTTGTTTATCCTAATGTAGGAAAAACAGTCACCAACATAACAACGCGAATTAAGCATGCATACAGGTTGAATGTTCAGGAGATCACAACTAGGACAGAAGTACAATACTAGTACAACAGAACAATACTAGTTTGTTCATGCAAGTAATGAAAATCAGAGGCTTTTAATATATTGAATGACACAATTTACAACAAGAAAGAACCACATCTACATGATAGTACTACTACTACATTGGCAACAAAAAAATTAAAACTACATTTGAACTGTTACATGATATGGGACTACAGTCACTAGACACTAGATGAAGGCTGTCGAAACATCCACCCCATCTCAACGAGGAGGCAGGTGTTTATTTTTCCAGACATTACCGGAAAAGGCTGTCGATGGCCGGGTCCGACAGTATAGCAACCAAGATTTATGACATAATCTTATACATATGATATGATGCCTCTTCATTGCTCAATGATAAAAGAAGGCCTCAGAAAACTAAGAATAATCAGCACATGATCACATACTCAAAAACAACAAGTATGATTGCAGGCTGCTTCTCCAAAAAGTGACATAATGATCAATTTTACTCCGTCACTAGAAAAGCCTAATTATAAACAGAAGTGAAAATGATAACACCTCTCTCTATATTGTAGATAAACCTTCCTTAATTAATTAATTACACCATGATTAATAATAATAATAATAATATTAATATAAGCTTAATTATGTCCAAAGAAGCCAGAATTAACACTGCCCCATGATAACACCCTATCTAAAAATGACTAAATTACCCATCAACAAACACTAATTGCCAATTAATTAACTAGAAACCAACAAATAATCCCAAGTTAATCACAACAACTATAATTTTTTTCATTTTTTTTTTGGGAAATTGATGAAATGTTTGTCATAATCTTTTTTTTTTTTTTATTATTATTATTAAGAATTATTAATCTTCTCCTGTAGGAAAGAGAGTGAGGACTTTCCTGCCACCATTGTTGGCTGTTCCAGACTCAACATCTTCCACAAACCCAGAATTACTCTGCATCATACCATTTCTATTTGGGCCCAATTGGGCTTGCCTTGACAAAAACGGATGCTCAAACTGCCCACCACCTTGACCCGACCCAAAATGGCCCAACTGTCGATGATGCTGATATTGGGCCTGAATCTGTTGATGACCAACCACAGCCGCCGCCATCTGATGGTGATTAAGGGCCGCAACCGGCATATACGGCAAAAAATGGTCTGAATTGGGCCTACCACCACCGCCACCGCCGGGCCCATTTTGGTGTAAGAAATGGGCCGGAACCGGTGAGCTCGCGAACAAATGATCAGTAGCAGGATCACCGGATCCACCGTTAGGACCACCAGCACCACCACTTACACCTCCGGCTCCGCCACCATTGTTAAGACCTTGCATCCTTTTCAAGTAAAGACGGTATTTCTGAAGATGACTTGCAACATTCTCTCTAGTAAGACCATCAACACTCATCAGCTGCATTATAGTCTTGGGTACAGCATTCTTGATACCCAAGTGGGCCACAGCATCCACGAATCTCTTGTGGAGCTGTGGGGTCCACACGAGGCGGGGCCGCTTCAGGGTTCGAGCTGGCTCGTCATTCCCCCCACCCCCTGAAGTGGCCCCGCCTCCTCCACCACCACCTCCACCGCCCCCGCCCAACTCGGCTGAGGACGAGTCAAACTCAGACGAGTTGGGTTGATTAGGGGGCGGCTGGGGCGCCGAGCTGCTCTGCTGCTGCCCCCCGTGGTGGTGGTATTGGCTGAGCAGCTGCGGCGACGACGTTGCGTGGTGGTGGAGAATAGAGATTGGGGTATTCCCGTTGTTCCCGGGGCTTCGAATATCGAAAGCCGAGGCGAGATCGGGAGTTATTAGGGTTTGCGACAGAGAAATGAGTTCATCCGGCGACGGTAACTCTTCGTCCCATTTGGAGAACCAATTTGACTCCTCTTCTCTCATCTTCTCTTTTTTTTTTTTTCTCTTTTATATGTGTATGTGTATTTTTTGGTACAAAAACTTTTCACAACCTTCAACAACAAAAATTCAAATTACCCAAAAAAATTCAACAATTACCCAAACAAATTCATCTAATTGTCTCAAATGGGTATGGCTTAATTTCAATTTTGGTGGGAAAATTATTTGTGGGTACAACAACAAGTGAAGAAGATTAGTGAGAGTTTTATTAAGGATAATTGAAGAAATATGTATAAAAAGGAGACAATTGAGATAATTCCATAAAATAAAATCCCAATAAACAGAAATTTTGCTATAAAAAAAATTGCTTATTGAACAATTGGTTATGGAGAGAAAGAGAGAGAAAATGTGGTGGTGGGTGGTGGAGGAGGGGTGTTCGAGGTGGATCTTGTTGGTGCTTCTTTTCAGCTTTTTAATATGGGGCACTGTTACAAAAAAAAAATATTAATATATAAAAAAAGAAAATAAGAAGACTTTTCTTATGATTTTTTTTCAGGGTTTATATTTTTATTTTTCCGGGATTTGAGGGTCCTTATTACAGTTATACTCTCTTCTCTCTATAACACTTCAGATTGTGTTGGCCGTCTTAAAGAAAGTATTTTTAAGGATATCAAGGGCATATACATCATTTTATACATGTTTTAAAATACTATCACGATTTGACGTGTTATATGTGTGTTTAATCGTTGCAAATAATATGAGGCGGAAATAGTAAATTGGATGTACCATTAAATCTAAAATTACATACTAAAATAATCAATAATTATCGCGATTTATAAATCACTCAACTACATTAAATCGGTTAAAAGTTAATTTACAACTAGTCGATGTACGCCAAGTGTACAAAAAGTTTAGCCATTATAATTCTTCGTCTTAAATTACTTATTTGTTTCCTTAATTGCATTATTTTCCCTTTTTATGAGATATTGTATAATAATTGCACCATTTTCATTTATAATAAGCATTATTAACACATGGTCACACTTATTTTATGGGTTCATACATCAAATACTCATCCTACCTCTGATAATACACATTATTATTTCATATTTTCTCTTTTTCCTTTGTTTGTAATCAAATAACTTTTATACTTTGCTTAAGAGGTAGAGATTGAGAAAATTAAATAGAAAAAAAAAAGCAATAATTTAATAAGATGAACCCACAATTTTATGTGGAAAAATTTGATAAATAAATATATGAATTTTATTATGAGCACTCAAAAAATAATCTAGGAAATATATAGGGGAATACAGGAGCCATAAACTATTAAGGTTGAGTAATACAATAATAATAACGAGATTGAGTGTCACATTGAAAACTTGCAAATGTAGGTGGATCGTGGTGGATCACTCCCAAAATAACACCCATCGCTAATATTTATAGATGATGTAAATCAACAAATGTGAATTCATGAAATTAATGGAATTGTGTAGAAAATTTTTCCACTATTTGTCTCTGAAGTTAACCAACGTTATATTATTGAAAGAATCATGAATCATTTAATAGGTACATGACTAAACTAGAATTTTCTAATATATGTCATCCAATCGTAAATAAACACCATCATTGAAATACGGAGTAGTAGGCTATAAAATTTGGGCCAAACAAAACCAACAAGCAATATATACATAAAAATATATATCACTTATGTATTTATGTTTGATTTTGTTAAATTCTTTGTGATTTTCAAAATTTAAATTATTACAATCATCTTAGAAGTCTAAAGCATACAAAGTGGATCATAAAAATGCTATTAAGTGGCTAATACAAATTCATCAATCTAACTTACTAGTATATAACTTATATTTTTTCCGTTCTGTATTGCAAGTACATTTTTTTTCCGTTGTAAAAATATCACGTAGCAAATAATTGAAATAATATATTTAGACTATGTTTAGTCCACTTTATTTAAGTACCTTATTATTTTTATTTTTTTTAGGAAAATTTAAGTACCTTATTATTTATTTTTTATTAGATTTGAAAAAATAAGTTTAGATCAGATAATAACGATCGTTTTATTTGCGATTTTTTGTCGCTAAATATCTTTACGTCCGTAAAAGGAAAAAAAATAAAATAATTACTACCTTTGAATATTATTAGTTGCAACTTTGGAATATTTTATATCTCACAAATAATACCTCAAAGTTACAACTAATAATATTCCGAATTAGTATTATATATTTGAAAATACACGTTAATACAAATCTTATAAGACCCATTTAAATGGATCGACTTAATTGATGTTTTTCTCAATTTATCTCCTCATCACATCAATCCATTCTTATAATTGTGTATCCTGCCATCCTCTAATTAATACGAGTTAGAATTATATAGAGAGCATATAAGATTATAAAGTCACACCCACTCACTCATATGCTCTAATTACACGCTCCTCCAAAAATCCAAAATCATGTGCTTTATGGCTTTATGCTGTCAATTTATTAACCTTAGTACTAAACCAATAAGATTTCTTAGCAGCTTTTATACTCCTGTCAAACATGACTATAACCTAAAACACTAGTGGCGCGTGACTTTCATGTAATTGTATGCGAGTGGTACAGATTACAAGAGATCAAAAGGACAAAGAAAGCTTTGTATTCTTTGTACTAGAAAATTTAAAAGTTAGAGAAAAAAAAGGGTTGTGAGATTGGGATTAGGAAGGACTTTAGAAGGAAATTTTTTTGAGTGTTTGAGTGAAAAAAAAGAAGCGCATAGAAAAAGAAAATCAAAAGAAAAAGAAAAAGAAAATGCAAAGTTAGGTCACTTTAATTTGAGGATTTTTCTTTTCTTTTTTTGTTGTTTTCATTTTTTTAGTTTGGTGATGTGGGGAATCAAGAAGGGAGTTATTCCAATCCAATGTTAAAGAAAATAAATACATTAGTAATATTCCAAGTGGGGTTTCTCTTTAAAATTGATTTTGATTTTGATTTTTGATTTTTGATTTTTGATTTTTTTTTTTTTTTTTTTTTTTTTTTTTTGTAATTTTAAGCTTTTTTATTTTATTTATTTTGGGTTCTAGTCACTTTGCTTGAGAAGGAATCATTTTGTGTGCTCAAGGTGTGATTATAGATTAATGGGGGCCATATTTGTCTTTTTGCCTCCCTTTGTTAGTGGTTTGACTAAGATAATCTTGATTCCAAACTTTTTAAGCTTGATTTGTGTTTTAATAGAGCTTTCTAGATTCGATTTGTTGCCATGTGCATAAACATAAAATTCATAAATATAAAAAGGGGATCATTGAACATAATAAGAACTAATTTACCTAATTATGAGTAAGATAATACAATTGATTAGAATGCATCCAAGTGTAGAAATAAGCAAACAAGTTATCTTTTGATTATTTATTTAAAATATTACCTATGTTCGAAAAAGAAAACCTTAGCTAAATTCAATTGGTGTTGTGGTAGTTGTATTGTGAGATTATAAAGTAAGGTGTCACTTGCCATTTTATTAGAAGGTCATAGCAAGTTTTAATATTACGCAAATAATCTTAAAAATTTCTCGTAACTTAAATACATATCGTAGTAAATTTTTATTTTTGGCAAGGTACATACAAATGTTACTTGTTTCTTTGTGCAACAAAAAGTTATGTATATATATATACAAATTTCTCCTTGTAATTAAGACGCTAAATCTACAAATTATGTATGTAACTTCCTGTACTAAAATCTGTAAATTTCTCCTTATACTTAAGATGTTAAATCTACAAATAATATATGTTACTCCGTACTAAATATGCGATGAAAAGAGATGTGCATAACTAGCATAAGGGATTGGATATGATTGTACTGGTCCAAATATTCGTAGCTTGCTGAATATAGGAAAGACTTCTACGCCGAACTTGTGACTTTCTAAAAGAATAGAACAAATTGGAAGACAGATGATTTATTTGGAGTTATTCTTTTTCATTTATTGTGATAACGACTTTGATTCAACGACTCTAGGAACATGTTGTATGAATGTATGATTTATCTGCAACGAATCTTTCTTCTTATTAATCTACGACTTTTCATTTAAATTTTATAATATTTTATGTTGCACGTTATATATTAATGTGACAACAAACAATAGTTATTATTATTATTATTATTATTATTATTATTATTAATTAATTAATTAAGTAAATATCCATTTATCAATGCAACCTTTACACTAACATTTTTACTGGTTCATAATCCATATTAGATCTCAATTATTATGCACCAAAGTAAACCTACTTCACTACGTTTAAAAATAAACATAAGTAATTATCAATAAATATAGAGTGTTAATATTTAAATTATCTTTTATTCCCTTCATTTTTTCTATATTATCAATTGGAATCTTGTAGTAACTATTCTCAAGTTAAGGAACCCTTTTATATTATTCACAAACAAAATTTGTAATCATATGGGGTCATGTTTGATTCATTTTAATGAGTGCTTAATATCAATTTTATAATTTTTTTTAAATAATAAGTCTATTCAATACATACATTGTTAATTAGGAACATAAAAAAAAATTTAAAAAAGTTCATTTATTGAAAGTACATATCAAGAATAAGTATGTAACTTCAAGTACGGAGTATATTTTTCTCTACATACAAAATACTCCATACAAATATATAGATTGCGTTAGACTTAATCAAAGTTAGCCCGCCCTGCTGGCCCGACCCGATTTAGGGTAGATTTTTCTGGCCCAAAATTTTATTTTTTTGGATGGGTTTGGGAATGCGATTTACGCATTTTTAGTTGTTTTTTTGTGCCGGCCCGAAAATGGCCCGAAAAGCCCGCACGGCCTGGCCATTTTGGACGGGTTTGGGCACAAAAATTCTGACCCGAAGCTTGGCCCTGCCCAAGAAGTGGGCTGATTTTTGTGGCCCTTCGGCCCGGCCTGGTCCGCCCAATGATCACCTCTAGATTACGTAAATCACAAAGATGGTCAAACAAAAATGAATGAATAACTGATTTGGAGAGATTGATATATATACACTCGGTTACACGGTGCACTGCATTCATAAGTATTTTGTTCTCATTGCAATGCATGTTTTCATTTAATATCAAATGAAGAACAAAATTTAACCTTAAATTAATTGGGTATACGGTACACTCAGGTCTATTTAAAAAATTTCAATTGAATAATTACAAAAATAAAAAAAAAATTAAAAAAAAATATGTTGGGTAGGAGAATAAAAGCCGCATATAGTTAAGAAAAAAACGACCAAGCAGTAAAAAAAATCAGATATGAATATGATGGCAACTTTCACTTTCAAAGTTTGAGAAGGATTGATTGGACTTACAAGTGCCAACATTTCTCCCACTTGAACGCTCGCTTAAAATATTGTATCTTCTGCCCTACACACTACTACTAAGGTTGTTACAAACTACATTTTCAACATTCTTTATTTTATTTTATTTTGCAACACACCCATTTAATTATTATATTATTATTATTACAATATTTTTATATTTCATTCTATTTTTTATTGAAAAAAATATTATTATATTGTTGTTGTCAATTTTATTACTAATTGTGGGCCTTTCATTACAATAAGTGAATTAGAGCTCTTTAGGTTGCTTATTTTTTAAAGTACGGAATCCATATTCTATTAATCACAATAAATGGAAATTTAGTATTGGATTTTTAAACTTTTTTTTTTCAAAGTAAAATTAATCTATTGATAGAAGAGTCATACAACATTTATAATATAAATCAAAATTAGCAAATGCAATAGAAATTGGATCAAATAATAT